TGGTATGGGCCTCTTTGGATTCGTCTTGTTTGGGATTCTTTGTGCTTCCTGAACTAGTCTGTCTTTTGCCTTCACCTAGTTAGGGAAGTTTTCAGTCATTATTTCTTCAACTAGGTTCTCAATTCTTTGCTCTGGTACCCCTATGATGCAGATGTTGTTATGCTTCATGTTGTCCCAAAGGTCTCTTAAACTATCTACATTTTAAAAAATTCTCTTTTCTTTTTGCTGCTTTGATTGGATGCTTTTTGCTACCTTGTCTTCTAAATCACTGATTCGATCCTCTGCTTCATCCAACCTACTATTTATTCCTTCTAGTGTATTCTTCATTTCAGATATTGTATTCATTTCTGACTGGATCTCTTTTATGATTTCTCTGGACCTTTTCACCTTGTTGTACTTCTTACTAATTTCCTTGAGCATCCCTATAAACATTTTTAAAAACTCTGTATCTTATAAATTACTTACCTCCATTTCATTTATCTTTTTTTTCCCTAGAGATTTCTCCTGTTCTTTCATTTAGGGCCCTTTTCTCCCCATTTTGGCTGCCTATCTGTATTTTTTTTCTATGTATTAAGTATATCTCTTATGTCTCCCAATCTTGGTATGCTGGCGTTATGTAGTAGGTGTCCTGTGGGATCCAGTGGCACAGTCTCCTTAATCAACTGAGCTGGGTGTTCCAGGAATGTCCTTTGTGTGGGTTATGTGAGCCCTCCTGTTGTAATTAAGTCATGAGTTTGCTATTGGCCCATTTTGTGTGGGTTTGACTCTCAGGCTGTTTGACTGTAAGGCTCAGTGTACTAGCTGCTGTGCAGGTGCTGACCACACTAAGTAGAATTTGCTTCAGCAGGGTCTGGTGCCTGCAGAGATCTCACTTAGGCTATGCCACTTGTAAAGCTATCTGGATCCTGCTCTGATGTTGTCTGAAGCTGGCCATTGGGTGTGTTGGTTCTGGGGCCTCTTGGGAGGGACTGATGCAGGTCAATATCAGACACTGCCTGTGACTGATCCTGGGAAACTTGTTTGGAGCTACATGGGGATCCACAGTTTCTGGATGCCTCTGCTGTACCTGGGTATGTGTGCAAAGGACCAAGCTGTACACCAAGGCTGGCTTGCACCAGCACCGAGTCCAGTGTTCAGTCAGCAAAAGGCCCAAGGTGCCCTGATATCCACCTTTGCCTGCCTCCACCTGCTGGCAGCCTGTCAGGCTCAGCCACTGAAAGAGCCTCTGATGGTACTTGAGTCTCAGTGAGTCACCAGGTATGAATGGTGTTCACTAGATGGATAACACGGTCAATCATAGAGCCAGTGCTGGGTCTGAGGCCACTCAGCAAAAGTCCTAGGGTATACCAAGTCTAGCTGCCACCTGCTGGGTAACTACAGACCTTTGTGGTGAAGCAGGGTCTTAGAAAATTTTCAGGGTGAGGCCAGCAGGGTTTATCAGGCCCAAACTGACCACGGTTTGGCCGTGTGAAGGGAGGGCTCTGCACTGGTCAGGCATAAGAGAGAAAAATGGACCCTGTCCTAGAGCCACACAACTCAGTATGTCCCAGATTCTGCCAGGAGCTGAGCAGGGTAGGGCTTCTGAGAGATGGGAAGGTGGGACTAGTGGATCTCCCATGTGAGGAAGTGCTGGTCAGGCTTGGGGGAAGGAGGGAGGAGTGGCCCCACTCCAGGGCCACACAACTCAGTCACCGACACCCTGAGTCTGCCTGGATATCTATACTCTTGTCAAGGCATTTGAGTCCTCAGCAGGGTGTGAGCTCCACCGGATGGGAGACAGGGATTCCGGAGGGTGGGGCTATTGCATTTACCCAGGTTCATGTCATAAGGAGGGGAGTGCTCTGCCAAAAGAAAGATGGCGTCTAGGGTGTGGGAGAGGGACTCAGCACAGGGATCATGACAGCTGTCCCTTTAGCTCTCTCCCCAGAGCCACAAAGCCCAGTCTCTCCTCACACTACTCAAGTCCACTCTGCCGGAGCCCAGGGTGAGTTGCTGTGAACAGGATTTCGTGTGCTGGCCCTTTAAGAGGGCACCTGTGTCTCTAGCAGACTTCTGTCTCTCCCTGGTGGACAGAAACCCTGATTTTTATAGCCCAATGTTATGAGGGTGCCTGTTCCCAGCTCTGATGTTCTAGTCTGGGGAGCCTGGTGTGGGGTTGAGACCCCACGCTCCTCAGAGGGAACCTCTGCAGCTGAGATATCCCTCTGGGATCTCAGATGCCACCAATGGGAATGGGCCAGCCCTTTTCGTCTCCACTCTTCCTGCCAGTCTCGATGTGGCTGCTGTAAATCCTTGGTTAGAAGACTCCTCTTCTGCTTGTCTCCACTTGGTTATTCAGGATGATTGTTCTATAATTTAGATGTAACTCCAGTTTGGTCCTGGGAGGGGTAAGTGTAGATTCCACTTATCCGTTGCCATCTTGGGTCCCATCCAAAGAAATTTTTTAAAAATAACTTTCTTATTAACAATAGAACATCTTCTATGATGGAAGTCCTCTCTGCCTAATACTTAGATTTTCATAGTGCTTGCAGATAATTCTTTCTGAAAAGCTACCCGATGCCGCCTTGTTTTCCTGTAGCATTATATTACTGTGATGCCTAGGACAGAATGATTTTTATAACCATCTAGCCACTTTCTGCTCTTTGATGATACAAATTCAAATGCTACAGATGGTTAAGAGTGACGCCAGTTCAAGCATTCCACATATATGGTGACACATCCATTTTTACAAATTTTGATTTACAGCTGAGTGGCTGACAAGATGGAGGCAAAGTTCAATTCTTCTGGGCCAATCTCCAGAAAAAAATGTTCATTCCTATGCTCAGATAAATGCCTGGACTTACCTCCTTTTCATTGTGACAATATTTACTTTGACAGTAGTGTAAGTGTCCTGGGTGTGTAATTAGTGGCTTTTATAAACTGAAATAGTTAATCACATTTATTTCTTGGGACTCTGGCCATCTCTCCAAAAACATACCAAGTTACTTGCAGACTCTTTGAGAGAGCTGAAGTAGTATGTGGAATGGTCAGGTAGTCCTGGGTCCAAATCCCAGCAGACAATTATTAGTTGTGAGAGTGTAGATAAACTAATATCTTTAAGCCTCCATGTCCTTATGTATCTAGTAAAACTAATACTGCTAATGACATAGGACTGTTGTAAGAATTAACTGAGATAGTATTTGGAAAGCTCTTGACATAATGAACTAGCTTGTTGTAAACTGCTCAAGAAACGATACTATTATTATATCACCTCTACAACATGCAGATTTGTAGTGTTTTCATGTGTATCTCTTTGCATAGTTTTAACAGTGGCTGCTGTGGATTTTACAATATACACATAAGACATCACAATTTACTGATATCAACATTCTCCACTTTCGGCGAAGTGTGGAAGCCTTACTTCTATTTATGTCCCTTTACTTTCTCCACTTTTAAATAACATTGTCTCGAGTATCAGATAGTGGTATACTTTTTGTTTCAATCAACACGTATGATTTATAAAACTCATGAGATAGTTTATTGCACATATCTTCTTCAGCTGTTCTTTGTTCTTTCACGATGCTCCAAGATTCCTTTTTATTTGCCATTTTCTTTCTGTTTGAGGGACTTCCTCTAGCTAATCTGCAATGTTGGGTTTTTCTTAGTCAGATAATATATTTATTTCCTCTTCATTCCTGAAAAATAGTTTCATTGAATCTAGAATTCACTGTTTGATAGGTTTTTTCCCTTTCAGCACTTAAAAAATGCTGTGCCACTCTCTTTTTGGCTTCCACGGTTTCAGATGCGAAGTCAGCTGTCATTTGAATTGGTGTTCCCCTACAGTAACATGTCATTTCTCTCTGGTTGCCTTCAAGATTTCTTTTTCTTTGCTTTTAGTTTTCAGAAATGTAGTTATGATGTGTCTTCATATGCATTTCTTGGGGTTTATCCTATTTGGGTTTTTCTCAGCTTCTTGAGCCTGTATGTTTATATCTTTTGTCAAAATTGGCAAGCTTCAGCTATTACTTCTTCAAATACTCTTCAGTCTTGCTGTCTTCCTTTCCTTCTGGGACTCCAATGATACATATGTGGATCTTCTGTCATTGTGTTTGAGGCTCTATGCATTTTTTCCAGTCTATTTTCTCTCTGTTATTTAGATTGGGTAAATGCTATTTTCTGTTAATTGACTCTATCCTCTGTCATCACCACTGAACTACTGAGCCCATTCAGTGAGATTTTTATTTCTGTTAGTTTTGGGAAGAATTATTTTATATAATGGGTATTAGACATTATCCAAAGTTCATTATCAACTGAACTCGCTAAAAACATAAATCATATGACAAAGGTTCTCAGTAGGGTTAACGGCTGAAATGCCCTTATTGGTTCATTAATGAGATGATAAGGATGTGCCTTTCCAGGTCTCCATCATGAAAAAGAAATGTCTCCCACCCACCCCTTCAGGTGCCCCCATCAGAAACTCTGTTCTGCTCACATGCCATGCCTTAACCCAGGTTGGGGAATGATGCACACATCTAAGTCTTAACACTAGGACAACGCCAGGACCTCTGAGATATTAAATCATAGGATACATTTCCTTCCCTAAAATCCCCTGAATCTGCTTTCCTTTCATTAAATACTTCTGAATCATTATTGATGGAGTTAGAATTGAGATTACACCAACATGAATCATATTTTAAAAAAAGCAGCATAGAAGTGAAGTGAGTTAAAAATTTGCTACTTCCTAGCTGGGTGAAGTGGGCATTCATATCTCACCCAGACTCAGCTTCCTTCCTACAGCAATAAGGGGTTATAGGAGCTGCCCTGCCTCATCATAATGAGGGCAAAGGAATCAGGGGATGCTGAAAGTGTCATGCAAAATCTTACATCCTTACTTTCGGAGATGAACAAAGGTTCTTAGTAGCTGGTACTACAGGTTGACATCTTTTCTCTGTATTCAGAGTACTTACACACATTCCTCACTCCCCAACCCCACCCGCCCAGCGAGAAAACACAGCACTTACCTGATGAGTTCCACTGTTTCTGAATACATTGTGTATGGAGATTTGGATTCCATTGGGCCCTGTTCCATTGCATTTCCACACTCAATGAATGACAAGGCTGCTTCGGCGTAGTTCAAAGCCTTTCCAAACTTTTCCACCTGTTCAACAGAGTTAACACAGTGTCTTCCCTAAGTACCGATTTTAAACATTATTGTCACACAGTCTATACACTTCATTTGAGAAATCCAACTTTTGAGTTCTAAAATCCTGTGAATGGAACTGAGAGAAAAAAGAAATGGGGCACTTCCTCTTCTAGTTATCTTCATAAACTGCCACTATTTTAGGGTAAATGAGCGAATGGTTACAGACAGAATTGTACCAAATCTATGTAACAACTGCCAATTAGAACTGCTCAGAACTTCCTGGTTGCTCCTCTTTCAATGAAGCGTGGCAGCTTCATTCCTTGTTCCTCCATGCTCTGCTAAATACACAGCGAAGCTGGTAGGTATGATTCCATATAAGAATTTTCATACTCTTTTTTGTATACTTCAACTTTGATGATTTACAGCATAAACCTGTACTTTTGTATTTTACATTATCTGACATTTCCTTTTCCATGCCTTCCTCCTATTGTGTGTGTGTGTGTGTGTGTGTGTGTGTGTAGTTATGTCTTTCATAGTCAGGACCCCAGTCAGGGATGAGAGTGAGGAGAGGAGATAAAACTCAAGGCAATATTTCAGCTTAGCTAAAAGGGGATACAGAGTTGATATTTAATAAAGAACATTTTTTTGGATTATATGAGGTTGTCTAAATTGATGTTAATCTTTCCCCACAACAGCAAGAATGAGCTTTATATTCTTAGGTTCTATTAAATATAAATTTATACATCAAGTTCCTGGTTCCATACTTTGCTACTCTCTGTAGATAATTACATATTTTAAGTTTGAATTGCATAATCTCTCCAGTATTCATTTGTGAATCAAAACAGAATTACACAAATACTCTAATTACTAATATAAGTCTTGCCTCTAAAAAAAATTCTCATTGATAATGATGCCTTAGAAAACAGAAATGTAGAGCAAAATACTCCCTCATTAGCAAATCAAATTTTTAAACAGCTTATAACCCTAATAGGCTATCCAGTAATATTTCTTGGCAACGCTTTCAGATTAAAGAAGCCATTTCATTCAGTAAGGATTTCCTGAAGCACCCAATTCTGTCCTATGTGTACTCGATACACACAAGTTCCTCCCAAGAACATATAATATAATTAGAGAGAAAAAATGTGCACCCACAGGACAGTTCACAGTGCAAGGCAGCCTACGAGTGACTTGAAATGCAGAGCAAGGAGTCCAATGCACATGAGATGGTAGGAAGGGAGCAGGTGGTGGGGCTTCAGAGGCGGGAGGCCTTGGGGAGGAGACCTGAAAATGACAGTGGGAAGGAAAGGATTTGGGGAGCATGCTGAAAGTGAGTGTGGCGAGAGTGAGAGTGTGTAAGTATGTGCGAGCTGTGAGCGTGTGAGTGTGAGGTTCTACAAGTGCACAGGCCTGCTGGCTGGCATGAGCAAGGTCTGCTTAGAGGCCGGTAGGAACACAGGCCTGCTGGCTGAAGCTGTGTCGGGTTGGACAAGGTGACACTGAGTGAAGAATCCTAGTCACCCTGGTGATTCAGGCAGAACTTTTCATTCTGCTTTAAAGTTCGCTGCTCTTCTCCAACAGTGACCTTGCCTCAGCTCCTCAGGTGACCATAACCCTTCATCAGCCTGTGGGAGTGTGAGGGCAAGAACTGCACCTTCTCTACTTTCTGACACTCTGGTTATGTCCCTTGCACTGATGAACCTAGGCAGTGATCCTCAGACAAGTAAATATTGATGGGCAACATCGGTAGCATTGGGAGCGGAGTGCTGTTATGGTTTGGGCATCTTCAACACTGGAACAATACGATAAAGGTCATTTGAAATGCCTTCTCCATCTCCAGCTCCCCAGCCTCAGTTATACATGCTGGTGGGGAATGGAGCTGGCATTCCCTGAGGAAAGAGTCCTTTTGGACGAGGCCTCAAGATGCAATAACCATACAATGGCTTTTAGAAAAAACACACACATACGTTTAAAAAAAAATCTAATGTCTAAACAGCTTCAAGCTTTCCAAAACAGGAGATTATCCAAGTAAGAAACATTATTTTTTTTTATAAACATCAAGTCATGGTGACTCTAGAGCAGTGGTTCTCAACCTTCCTAATGCCGCGACCCTTTAATACAGTTCCTCATGTTGTGGTGACCCCCAACCATAAAATTATTTTCATTGCTACTTCATAACTGTAATTTTGCTACTGTTATGAATCATAATTAAATATCTGTTATGCTATATGTGTTTTCCGATGGTCGCGACCCACAAGTTGAGAACTGTTGCTCTAGAGCAGTGATGGTGAACCTATGACACGCGTGTCAGAGGTGACACGCGAACTCATTTTTTTGGTTGATTTTTCTTTGTTAAATGGCATTTAAATATATAAAATAAATATCAAAAATATAAGTCTTTGTTTTATTATGGTTGCAAATATCAAAAAATTTCTATATGTGACACGGCACCAGAGTTAAGTTAGGGTTTTTCAAAATGCTGACATGCCGAGCTCAAAAGGTTCACCATCACTGCTCTAGAGGCTTATGTGCGTTATAATAGTTTCTGCTGTACAGTTTCAGAGAAGTATTCATTTTGGCAGATACCCATGAAGAACACAAGTCTTTTTGAAAAGGGATTAGATCCTGGGACCACGCCAAGGGCTGGCCAGGCTAATATGACAGAAAAGTGCAAACTTAGATTTTATTTTTAAAGAAAAAAAATGCTACCCACTGTCTCCATTACCTCTAGTTACTATTCAAAACTTAGGACTAAAATAAAATATTCATTTCTCCAGGGCTTTCTCCCTGTCAGGCATTATTGGTTGAAGTCATACTTTATTGGGTGATGAGTGCTTGATTATATAAACATTTCTCCATTTAACAGACTCAGCCATCCTTGTAATAGATTTTATAATTACCCCAGCTACACTGCCCCAGTGATGAAGGTGCAGTACAAACATCATTTGGAAAAACGTATCTGGAGAGAAAAGGAACTTACCATTGCATCTGCCTTATGCTTCATCCGCTTAGCTTCTTGCATAAAATAATCTGCACTGCGCGGCCTGCAAGGAGAGGATGATGCCAAATGTCACTACTGTGGAAGAGTAAGGTCTCCTGAAAATATTCCTTCCTTTTGCTCAAACTTAAATCACAATTTCAAAACTCTGCTTAATAGGGAAGCAGGTACTTTTCACATTTCCAAATCACTGCCCGTATGTAAAGTACCACGATTATATTTTGCTTAAGTTAGCAATTCAAAACACAGTATATGCCGATCATCTACATTTGCAGTGATTTTAACATGGCTCCCCAGTGCCTGATTTGAATCAGATTTTTTATTGCATGGTTAAGAAAACAAGTAAAAAACTTACTTTGTGATATTTACACGAAACAATGGCTTTTTAATGTAAAGATTGCAAAATATACCTCATAATAATTGCATGGGTGAGTATATATATGTATCCTTATGAAAATCTGTGTCATTTACAGGTATAAAAGGTAGAGTTATATGTACCCATATGTAATTATTTTAAAGCTTGGCAGTGGGAAATGAAAAGAGGTAATGCTGTATGATTCCATTCCAGGCATAAGGAAATTAACTGTAAAACGATGTCTACCTTGTAACAACGCAGTCGTGGCCTGGTTCTCTACAGCTCTGATTAGCTGGCTGGTCAATATGAGCAGCAGCCGTGCATCATTAAAGCAACACCCCGGCCAGCACTGCTTCTGCCGGGAGATGATCCGAGTGTGCGTGTAACTTCAAGTTACACTGAGGTACTCATCACACTGCACCTTTAAATGCTTAGTCTGATAGTTTTTACACATCTGCATACTTGAGGTGATATCAGCTTAAACTTTTTTTGTGGTATTATAGGTCTTTATGTAGTCAATAAACTTGACTTACTCATGGATACCCAATATAAGCCAGGACTCCCCGAAAGCGATAAGACGTAGGTAGTGATATGAACCATGGACTGTTTAACCTATTGTTACATGCTTATTCTGAACTGTCTTTTTCAGATTCTAATGGGTCTCTTTTCCCACTGCAATATTAGGTGGTCAGATATTAGGTGACCTTTTATCTGAAAAGGTCAAAATGCTTAGAAAAACCATGAATATCATATTGCCGATACCACTGCAATCCAAAACAATTATGCTCATTTTAATGGCTTTAATCAACCAATCAATCAAAGAAACAAACTGGTCATAGGTCACAAATCATTGAAGCATAAAATATTGTCAGGACTGTGGTACCACGCTAGAAATATTCAACTTCAACAAAGAAATGAGGAACACAGTTGCAGGGTTTCCTTAATGCATTAATAAAACTTCCGTTTTGGCTCATCTTCCCTTTGCAATTCCTCCTGTCACTCAGGCCTGCAAACTCCCATTCATCTTGGCGGGTCTCCACTGGCCTGCAGGTTCCTTCATTGCAGGCCCTGGTCCTACAGACTCTGGTTTCTCCAGTTCCCTTCCTAGATGTCCATACTTCTTCCGTTTGAATGGCTTTAGTGGCCTTTACATGATTGTTTTCCAAAGTTCTTTGTCCCCATATTGACCTCTGAATACATGTTGGCTGTCTGTTAGGTCTTTGATTCCAATTCTGGCGATTTACATGATTTTTGTTGTTGGTTTTTAATGAACTACTTTATTTTTTTAGAGCGAGTTTAGGTTGACAGGAAGGAGAAAGCACAAAGGGTTCCCATGCATCTCCTGCCTCACACACCCACTGTCAGCATCCCTTCACTATCAGCATCCCCCACAGGAGTGGTACATTCATTACAATCAATGAACCTGTATCATTATCACCCAAAGCCCTTAGTGCACTCTAGTGTTCACTCTTGATGTTGTATATTCTATGGGTTTTGACAAATGTTTAATGACATTTATCCACCATTCTAGTATCCTACAGAGCAGTTTCACTGACCAAAAAAATCCTCTGCATTCTTGTTTGGTTTTCCCTTTGTTTCATGTGGCGAAGACGAAGACCAAACTCCACTGCTAGCCCAAACCCAGGTCAGACTCCTGAGCTTCAGATGTGGTCCCAGAGCCCACTTGTTCAGAAGAGGAGTCCAAGTATTTCCATCAATTTCTCCCCTGTTATGAAATGCCATGGATGCTTTCTTATAAATAAATTCCCCTTTCTTTTCTCAAGGAAACATCCACCACAGAAATCTAGGCTCCCAGCACCTCCCTTGGGTTACAGTTTCACTCCCCTCCAGTCTATCCCGGACTTCAGTCCTGATCAATATTTGTACAATATGGCTTTCCTTACCTCACCAGCCTGTCACAGACCTACAGCCATTCTCCAGTGCCCAGGACATCTCAGCTCAGGCCTCCGGTAATCTCACCCAGCTGTCACTCACTCACCAAGGCCTCCAACCACAGGGGTCACCTCCTCACTGTCTTGTTACCATGTTGTCCCTGTCTTAGCAGCTCTGCTCCCACTTTTTCTCCTGTCTGGAATATTCCCTTCTCTGCTCCTTCACTGAGTCCTACGACGAGCCAAATATCACCCATCCCTCAGATTTTACTGCCACGAGGCCTTCTTGGTTACTTTGGTCCATTCTCACGTCTTTCTTTCCTAATCTGAGGCATTACCTCTTGTTCACACTACACTTCTGTGCATTCAGTTATCTTCTGAGCTACCCTGGGCTACAGTCATTGCATTCACACAACTCGGCAGCTGGTACCTTTCAGCAGGGACGACGCTGTGGCCTCTTTGATCTTTCCCACCCTGCAGTTTTAGGCACATGGGAGAAGGAAAATGAATTCCCCTTGAATAGCACTGAATTCATTTTGAGCTTAGAAGAGAGTGGTGGCTTCTGATGGCAGCAACATAGCCAATGAGCCAGAGAACGTCTCCATGGCAACCTGAAATTCTCTACATCATTATCTGCTCTACACTCCAGTATATGAGTTTGGTCATTTTTTTTTCTTCCCATTTGGTAGGTCCTGTTGCTAACAGATCATCATTTCAAATGCATTTCGTTTTCATGAAAGGATTCTCTTGATAATAAGCTAAGACATCTCAGTTTTTACAAGCCTTCTACATTACCCTTATGGATGGCAGTGCCTCCTAATTCCTATTATGGGGTCCTCCATCAATGCTGTTTTTATCTGCAGCATATGAATGTATTTTTAAACCTGATATGAAGGCTGAGTCACAAACCCTCATAATAGTGGACGTGGATAAGTAACACATCTAATGTTCTGACTGTATCACTGCAGCAACACCAGTAACCTGAGATGCTGGAAATGCACCATCCAGAGGCCACTTAGGAACACATTAGAATTCTCATCTTTGCATCAATGGAGGGCTCGTTACACTGATTCACTGAAGACGGCCTGAAGATTGGCCCATTTTTCTCCTTTTAGGTGATTTCTGGTGCCAGGCTGCTAGACCAGATCATTATAGAGGCAAAGGGACCAATGGGATGTTGCTGAAATTGTCCATCGGAGGATGCGTGCTGTTACCAGGCATCGCTCCACCTGCAATGCTCAAGTCAGTAGGAAAATGAAATTGTTGTTACTATTGTGGCAGTTACAGAACATGATATGGTAAAGGTACTAAGACAAAATCTAATTATCTCAGTGTTCAGACAGATTTATCACCTAATCTATTTTTTTTACACGGAAAACCTGAAGATTTTGTTTTTCATTTAGATAATGACATTCTTCACATTGTTTGTCAGTGATGGCATTTTATGAGGATACAGGAGCAAGCCTAAAAAAAGTTCAATTAAACATCATCCATGTAATTGTGTAGCTTGGGCTGATCTTCAGAAATGGGCCTTGAGTGACCTAAAAAGGCAACGCTTAGCTGCATGTATCTTTGTCATAAGAGGTCTCAGCAGCAAAAATAATCTGAGCACTTGATCCGCAAGAATGCTGCGTTCTTTTTCTTTTCCTCTCCTCGCCCTCCCACCTACCAGCATGCGCCTGCCTTCTAAGCAGCGACTGGTCTGGGCTGCCCTAATATTTCTCTGGCCCTCGAGGATTATGGCAACCTTGTCCTTTTGTTCTCCTTCGTGGAGGAGACAGTTGAATGGGCTCCCAGGGAGAGGCTGGCAGACTGCTTCCTGTCATTCCTGCCTCTGGGAAGGAGCCCCAGCAGCGCCAGCCTGTTCTGTGAAACCTGGCAGGCAGGAGCGCACGGCTGTTTGAATAAACAGGTGCCTTGGCACAGCAGAAATCGGAGTAATTTTCTTGGGGAAGTTGAAATCCAAATCAGACAAATAGGCAACTGCACGCCAAGTGAATTCATCACCTGACATCCCGTCAGCTGCCATTTGATAAACCCCAGACGCGTCCCAGTGTCCTGAGCGTTGGGGTACTTTCTCCACAAAGAAGAATGTGTAGGAAGTTGCCAGACGGGAGAGGGTGGGAGGCTGGGTGAAAAAGGTGAAGGGATTAGAAGTACAAATTGGTAGTTACAGAATAGTCACAGGATATAAAGCACAGTATGGGGAATATAATCAATAATATTGCAATAACTATGTATGGTGCCAGGTGGGTACTTGAATTATTGGGGGGTCATTTTGTAAATCACACAAATGTCTAACTACTGTGCTGTACACCTGAAACTTACATTGAGTGTGCACTGTAGCTGAAACAGGGCAGTTCAGGAATGGTTTAGATGCGCTGAGTGACGCCGCTGCTGAGGCCTTGCAGAGCCCGCCCCTCCGGTGCTGGAGCTGGCTTTGCAGGTGGCCTGCATTTAGGAAGCATGGATTCACCTGCAGCTTGTGTTCTCTAACCCTGGGTTGGCTGGGACCCGAGTCCCTGAGCCCCGGCTTCTCAGAAGCACCAGCGACCAGTCATTGTGCCTCCTTCAGGCCTTGGCTGTGCAGATGACTGCTTCCCTCGGCCACGGCCACACACAGAAAACAGCACGCGCTTTCCAGGACGCGGGCGGAGAGGCGCAGGGTTTGTTATTCCATCAAAAGCAACTTTCTAGTGAAATGGAAACTCATCAATTCGATTTTTGTTGTTCTCTGGGTGTGACATCTTATATAATAAAAGCCTAATATGTTAAGTGTCCAGTTGTCCATTTAACCAA